ACCTGGAGAGTGGGAGAATGCATGCTCCTTATATCATCAAAGAGTAGCTGTTTGATGTCCTTGGAAAGAAAGGTGTTATGCAAATTAATCACTGCACTGATTTCCACAAGAAGTGTCCCTACAATGTTCAAATGTGAGGTGAAGCAAACTAGCATAGATCTTTCTTCCTTCTAAAAATACCAAGTGTTATGTGTCTGGGAAAAATGTCATAAAGCTCCATTATGAAATCCCATACTAGGCCACCATTTTGGTTTGATCACAAGTGGCATATGGTGTTGAATTTTCATGGTACAATGTGTGGCTGGTTATTTTTCTTACCACACAGGAATGAGTGTCAGGTGTGTGTCACTCTTGGTTCTTAACTGAAGTGTGAAAGTGGGACTCCAAAGTATTTATAATTGATCCAACTTTGGTTATACATGTTAGAAATAAATTTCTGAGATAGGATTGACAGATAAAATACAGTTAAATTTGAGTCTGTGATAAACAGTGAGCAATTTTATTTTTTAGTATAAGTATGCCCCATATTTAAACAATATGGTGGATTGTGTAGACATACAGTGAGGAGCTCCATCAGAAACAATACAGAGTACCGGACCAAGAAGGCTCAGGGGATGGTACTAGAAATCTGAGCCACATATAAAGGAATATTTAGAAGCTTGGAAGGATTACAGCTAGGGGAATTTGTAGCAGAACCAAGAAATCCATTGCTTTCTAATTCAAGATGCTCAGCTGCTCCAGGAGCCACCATCTTGGTAGAGGCCAAGTGGGGGAAGGATCAAAACAGCCACAAATGCCTGACTGAACCACAGAGATACAGGTGTGGACATTCTTTTTTTTTTTTTTTTTTGGTATCTGTTCATTGGTCTCTCACTGTCTGCGCACCTCCATCTGGTGACCAGAGGGGATGCCTGAGTGAATGGACACCCCACTCCCACCCTTGGAGGGTTCTACTACACGTGTGCACAGATCTCCTTGAAATTTAAAGTGACTATTTCCACCTAAAACCAAACGGCCACCACTTGTCTGTCAGTTTGTTGTACTGTGGTGGCTTGTGAGTTGCTGTGATTCTGAGAGCTATGCCACTGGTATTTAAATACCAGCAGGGTCACCCCTGGTGGACAGGTTTCAGATGAGCTTCCAGATGAAGACAGACTAGGAAGAAAGAGTTATGAATCACTTCTGAATATTTAGTCACTAAAAACCTTATGAAAAGCAGAGAAACACTGTCAGATATAGTGCCAGAAAATGAGCCCCGCAGGATGGAAGCCAGTCAAAATGCAACTGGGGAAGAGCTGCCTCCTCCAAGTAGAGTTGACTGTGATGATGCGAATGGAGTAAAGCTCCTGGGAGAAAAGCTCGCGGGATCTTCATTTGCTAATGGGGCACAACTTGAAATGAAGAGAAACAGCTGTAAACATCCATTGAAAATTGGAGCATGGAATGTACGAAGTATGAATCTGGGAAAATTGGAAGTTGTCAAAAATGAACTGGAATGCATAAACATCCATACTTTAGGCATTAGT